ATTAATTTTGCGTTGAAATAAGTGGGTTAAAATTTGTCCCACCACACACTTGAATTTCCGCTCAATAGATAGCAGCACTTGCGATTATTTATTCTTTTCTTTTTTGCATCTACTTTTTTCGTGATTGCGTGCGCTTTTACATCCGTTGTATGCTCTTGATGTGCTAAAATGTCTAGAAAAAAATTAACAACTCAGGAAGCTTTGGATCTTTTTGCTGAATTGCCATCCGATTGCGACTCAAATGCTTCAGATGTCAGTTCTGATTCAGATGAAATTGAAATCCAGGAGAGAATAACTGAGGTTGAAGTTATTGCTGAAGAAGAAAGAAAGGAAGTAGTTATAATTTGTTTTGCTTTTTAAGGACACAGACCCATCTATGCATGTGGCACTGTAAATATGGATCGGAAGTATCTACCCAAAAATTTAAAGAAGACAAATTTATGTCAAGAGAGGATATATAGACTTTTCAGTTAGCGATGATTCAATTTATTGCATAAAATGGAAGGATAAAAGATCCGTTTCTATCCCGTCTTGCTTGGAAAAGGCAACTGAAATGAAAGAAATTAATAGAAAAGAACGAGATGGAAAGACAAAAAAAAAAAAAAAAAAAAAGTACTGTGCTTAAACAGCATTATTTCATACAATAAGAATATGGGATATGTCGACTGATGATCAACTGAAAGGACTATATGAAATAGATCGCAAAAGCAAGAAATGGTGGCACATGATTTTTTTTTTTTACTTTTTAGATGCGAGTATAGTAAACACATTTATTCAAGTTTGTTCACGAACCTGATCATGATGTAAAAACAATGAAAGATTTTCTTCTCTCAGTTATAGAAGGTCTAATGACACTTGCAGGCAAGAAAGAGCTGAAAAGAAAACTGAAATCCCCAGTTCAAATAATAAAAACCCGTTCGTACAACCAGAAAAGAGACTAAAAAATGTAAGTAAAATGCCAAAGAGAACGAGCAGGAGAAGATGTGCATATTGCAGCATATCGAAAGAAGAACGACGAACATTTTGGATGCGTGAAACATGTGAAGTGCCTCTATGCTTACAAAAGAATGAATAAACACATTTTTCAAAGTTTCATGAAAAATGACTTTTTTTTTCAATTTTAATCATATATATAAATGTTTTTGAATCAAGTGCCAATTTTAATATTTTATTTAGTATCATATGTACAAGTATCAAATTTTAATCTTAAAATAATATTCAAGAAAATGTTTTCTTTTGTTCCTAAAATTTAAAAATATTAAATATATACTATATGCAAAATTTTACAAGTCACGCATATATGCAATAAGTACAAAATGCATTTTAGTGCGTTTATTATGAATATTTTAGAATGCACGCTTTATTTTGTTTATTCATTCCACATATGATTTTTTTTTCGTGCTATACACCAATATGCTATAAGACATGTGCTAGTTGCATGGTGGGACAAACGGTATCCCACCTTCCACCGTAAAAAATAAAAGCGCAGAATTTTCTTCAAGCCTTAAAGGCACTTAAGTAAGTCCGTCTGACTTATTCTAAGGCATTTTTTTAAAGATTAAAATATATTTTAAATATGCGTGTCGCAAAGGGTTAAAGGTCAAAGAAAATTGACAAAAATCCAATTCTTGTTACTTGTAAAAAGTGCCAAACAAATAAGTGGGTGATTCTGCACTTTAGCAGTGAAATTGTTTGTTTATAAGTGCTTATTAGCTAAAATCACGATCGAAATTTTCCTGAAATGTCACATGACATATCTCAGGATCTCTCATTTCTCTGAGATAAAATAATCTGTGATTCGAACTGTGTACTTCTCAGATTATTGCTAAAGTCCTAGCTAGTAACCTTTATCGCCTTACCAAAATGCCGCCAAATTATCTGTTACCATATTCCAAAGATTAGCCGAATTATTAGATTTAGTAGGACTTCAAGAATGCCGATATTAAAAATGCATTAGATTCCATAATGAAAATTATGGAATTTTTTTATGTGCCTCTTAATAAACTTGTAAGCATTGCAACTGATGGAGCTCCCCCAATGCTGGGTAAAAAAAAATCTGTCTTATTGGGCTTTTGAGAGATGATTCTCAAATTCCACAATTCATACTGATTCGCTGCATAATTAATTCACCGAGAACATCTCGTTACAAAATATTAAAAATATCTTGATGTTATGAAAACATTGTAACACATTGTAAATTACATTCGCACCAATGCAAAAAATCATCGACAATTAAAAAATTTCTCTGAAGAATTAAAGGACGAAGAACTTTCAAATAACAATTTCTTTTCCATTGTTAGATGGTTATCTAGCTACAACGTATTAAATCAATTTGTAGATTTGTTTGATTCGTAACTGCATTTCTAAAAGAAAAGGAATTCAGAACCTATTTAGAATTAGAAGATGACGAGTGGTTACAAGATTTAATGTTTTTGACTGATGTCATGGAACATTTGCAAACACTAAATTTACAATTGCAGGGGAAAGATAAAATAATATCTGATCTCTCACAGTGTATATTTAGTTTTCAAAAAGACATTAAAAATGAAACATTTTGTCACTTTCCTTGAATTACATTTTTTTCCCCAATATTAAACAAGAAAAACTCAACGAGTATATAAAAAGCTAGAAAGAATATTGAAGAATATTTAAGAATTCCAAAATAGATTTCAAGACTTGAAATATTTTAAATCCTTTCTTGATTTTTCCTGAATCCATTTGAAATTAACATAATTCAAGGTGAGTTTCCATTTCCAATATAATTATGACCCAAAAAGCATCTGGAAAATTAGAATTAATAGAGATGCAAAAGCATCAAGCTCTACAATTAAAATATAAGTCGACGGCGATTACTGAATTTTGAAAATTTGTACCAGAATAGAAGTATCCTGAATTAAAAAATGCTGCTTGTCGAATTATTTCACTATTCGGAACAACGTACTTATGTGAATCATTTTATTCCACTTTAAAATTCGCGAAACCCAAACACCAATCACTATTAACTAACCAGCTACTCAAAGAATTACTGAGAAGTGATGTCACCAATCATTCACCAAATTTTAAAGAAATATAAAGAGAAGTAAAGTAAATGTGTTTAATTTTTATTTATATTTAAATTAAATTTAAATTCAATGCACACGTTTTTTACTTTTATTTATGTGTTTTCAATAAATATAATTTTAGTAAAAAAATTTTTTTAATACCTTTTTTGCATACCTTTTAAATACGTATTTAATTGCAGCTCGTGAAAAATTTCAAATTTTGAAAGATGGCTTGGACTATTAAGGAGTTTGGCCACCCCTGTTATATGATTATAATACTTGTAATTGCAATTGTAACTAAATTTAAGAATTATAATACAATTACATACATTGGTGTTGTCATTAAAAAGTAGTTACATTGTAATTGTAATTACAAAGTAATTGCATAGTCTAATTACAATTGCAATGTAACTGGAATCGCATATTTCAAAATATTATTGCAATTACAATTACTTTTGCATTGTAACTTTAATTGTAATTGCAATTACATTTTGCCAAACTATGATCCAAGATTTGGAGAGTAATTAGGCTGGAAAATTACGATTCTGTTTACGTATGTAAACATTTAATTTTACTATAGTTGGTGTTCTTAAATGAAGTATATATTTTGAGTTGTTATTTAAAACCTAATGATGAAACTACATTTGCCTCTAGGGAATAGTTAGTTTCCTCTCATCAGTAACCTTCCGCAGAGGAAAATGATCACCTCTCTGTTTAAATTAAGAACAGAGAGGGGAGGATTCTCCGAGACAAGCCACATAGATGCTGCTTTAACGTTTTGTGCCAGAATTGACATTTCTGTATATATTCTGCCTTGCTATTATGCAGACCAAAGTATGTGGATGCATATATGCTGCCTTGCTGGTACAAGAGCCTGTATTTTTTAACGCATAGGGCCTTGTTGGTTGGAGGGTTAAATTAAGTAGTTTATTGTTTTTTTGTGTGTTATACAGATGGCAGTAAAATTAATAATCGAGTTGGATTAGCTTATGGTGTTTTCCATAATGGTTCTGAACTGGAATACAAACTCTTTAGAATTCCCAATGAATGCAGTGTTTTCCAAGCCGAATTACTGTGCATTAGTGAGTCAATTAAGTGGATATCTAACAACTGTTCGCTAAGTGCTAAATTTCTTATTCGCACTAATTCTCTTTCATCCTTATTTTCTCTTAGGAATATCTTCTCATATAATAAATTAATTGTGACTTCCCATGCTCTTCTTAAAACCTTAATAATAAAGGTGTTGATGTTATCTTTTCTCATGTACGTGGCCACACTGGCAATCTAGGAAATGAAAGGGCTGATTGGTTGGCAAAACAAGCTACACATCTTAAAGTAATTACTCCAATGATACTTTCTAAATCATTTTACAAGAACAAAAGTAGGGATGATACAATACTTGAGTGGAATGAACTATACAGGAATTCTACTACTGCCTCTTTGACTAAACTATATTTTCCTTCCATTCCTCACAGACTGAATAATAAACACTTTTTATGCAATTTTGAAGTTACTCAATTTCTAACTGGACATGGTAAATTCAATTCATATCTGAAGAGATTTAGATTGTCTAGTACAGACTTGTGTTCATTTCGGGGGAGTGCAAAATGTCGAACATTTGTTGTTCAAAGCTCAAGGAAGGACGAAAGGAACTTGTTTCTAGGTTAAACTCAGGCAGAATATATACATCTGTGAATATTACATTTCCTCCCCCTCTTCATGTATTTGTCCAACATAAAATGGCTTTCTTTTTCTTCTGTAAATTTATTTCTTACCTATCATCTGTGAATTTGAAGTTTTTTTTTATTTTGTGTTGTGTTGTATTTTTTTTTTTTTTTTTTTTTTTACTTCTGTAAGCCTATGTGGTGCACAAGGATTTAAAATTTCCAATTAAAAAAAAAATTATTATGACTGTTGTTTTGTATTGTATATTCATTATTGTAAATTTTATTTTAACAGTGTGGACAAATTACACATCAGTTAGCATTAAAGGTATTATTGCAGTTTGATAAAGTAATCAACAATGCTCTGGCATCGAAAATTAAATCCAGACTGACTTTTAAGGTACTGTAATAAAATTTTATTTTTTTAGCTTAGTATATGTTATGGTTACTGTTAGTATTTTGTTTATTTACATATTTTGTAAATTTATGTTTCATATTACACCAGTTTTACATACAGGGTAGTTATAAAAAACTTCCTGATATATGAACCCGTAGTGATCTATCTGTTCAACCAATCAAAATGAAATTTCAGATATTGTTATTTGAAGGTGTGTGGGGATTGAGATGATTTAATATTTGAATGGCAGTTTTTTTTTCCCTTGCACAAATTGATCAGTGCATCAATAAACCATAAATGCCATTAAAATGATACACATATGACAAAAATTGCAGGCATAAAACATTTGCAAAGAGTTTGCAGTCTGTTACCTTTGTTACCATCAGGCTTGTCTGTACTTGCATTTCAACAGAACAATGCATGACCACACGTATGCAGTGTTTAAGCTTTCTTGTTAGCCTATCATATAGCATTGTTACCCTGACCTGCCCTTTCTCCAGATCTATCGCCCATCAAACATGTTTGGTAAATGATTGGAGAACGCCTAGCCCGGCATGCAGCAAGTACACCAGATAAACTTCGGCTACATGTGAAGGCAGCATCGGCTGCCATTCCCAAACAACATATCCCAAACTTCTGTTACTCAATGGCTGGCATGTGTAGCAGTGATTATTGACAAATGTGGAAAGAACTGATTTTGATAGCTCTCTTTTTCTTCTTTGTGAAACATTTTGGATGGCAGTGTATATATAAATGAGACTAATCTCATTGCATATTTTAAATATCTAATATAGCACATACATATAGTATATTTAGTTTATTTAAACTAAAATAAATTGTTCCTCAAGAATTTGATAATATGATGATTTAATATATATATGTATTTGAATTCAACAAATATTCTGTGTTCGTATAAAGCTAATTTAAATTTATGATTTATATGATGTATGCAGCTACTGTTATTTATTTATTTATATTAATATAAAATTTAATGTGTATATATGTAAGAGAAAAAATATGAAAGCAAACTTCTAAACTTAATTCACTATAACTTCCATTATTTTCTATTTCATTTGAGAACTTCCTCTGTCTGTCCTAAAAATAGCGCTTAAGTCTAAACTGCGTCATTCAAATTAATCGTGCGATCTTACTTAACCCATAATGCAGATCCCTCTCGACCAATCACCAAATTGCAAACCAAAACTTTTCTCTTCGCGTGCTTCCATCTTTCATAACTACGCACTTCAGCTTTGCCCTCTACTCTGCTAATATGTAATTTCACTGGCTTGCTTTCTATCCCAACAATATCAAAAATGTAAATCTTCTGTGGAAAGGCACGACTAGAGTGCCAAGTGATTGTGGCCACAAATATCAATTGGAAATAAAAATGGAATTAAAATCGCTTCTGCTGCCAAGTTTAATTTACGAAGTCAACATTAGCTTACGACGCAATCAGATTACTTCCTCTTCAATATAGGATAACTACGCATCTACAGTGTTCCGTTATTTCCTTTTCCTTTGCTCTTATTATGACAATTAAGCCGGTAAGGATAGTTTCCTGCAGCCTGAAACCTCAATGGAAAATTTAATTCAGCTCTTCAAATCATCGTTTTGTGATAAATCCAAGATAATGTGAAAGAAGTGAATCATCAGGTTTGTTTTTTCAGTGTTTAAAAAATAACAGATCATTCTTCTGCTGTGGTGTTTTGCAAGTGCTTCAAAAAAATAATCACGCGTAGTGTTTACAGATTGAAAGTGATCTCTCGATAAATTGAGAAGTTCGAATGCCTAGTGAAAGGGAAATCATCAGTGAATAACCGTTTATGAATTTAAGCATTACAGCGGGTTCAAGGTCGATCTGAGTTGGTGTTTGCAAGTATGTGCGACAGAAAATTATTTGCACTTCCGCTTTTTCAACAGCTCAAAAATTATTACATTCGTGTGAATCTAGCTCAGGAACTAAATAATTTAATGTGCTGCGGATTCTATAGTTTTCATTTCAACATTGGTTAAAATTTCTGTAATTTGTTTTGAGAAAATCTGAAATTCTTGTTCATTAATTTTTCTAATTTTTCATAATTATGTGTGAGCAAATTAAGTAACGAATTTTAAGCTATTTAAATTATTCATAGGGAAGTATATTAAGATAAGTTTTTATGTTTTTGAAATTTTGTTGAGAATTTTGAATGCGAATTTTATAATTATTCTAAAAATAAAGATGTTAAAAATAAGTGAAATTAGTACAGATAAGTAATATGAAATTATGGTAAATGCATGTTAAAATTTATGGTTTATTGTATGTTAAGTATAGTATGATGAGGGTGTACTGGTTCCTTCAACAGAGGCCTGTAATTACCTCTGTACAGTTGTTCCTTTTACCCTCTTCATGCAAGATAATGTTGGAGGCTCTCATTTTATGAATGCATGTAAATTTTTTATATTATTATTATTATATTTTTTTTATTATGGAATGTATTAGTGCAGTTCTCAAAGGCCAGTTACCTTAATGCAAGGAACGGAGGCCTTTTCAAGTAACTGCCTAGGCACCCTGGGCCACCAGTGCAGAGAACACACTGGTTAGCTCAAGAGGACAGCCCTATTGATGGATATGTTTGTTTAGAAGTATTGCGAGGCTTCCAGTTTGGTAAAATCAGGAATTGTAAATGAAAGATGATAACGGTGAAACCATAAATTCTGAAAATCTTAATCCTATTATTTATGATGTTAAATTATAATTTATCAGTATGGATATAAGTATCATAAATATTTTATGTGCATTACATTTAATTATAAGTAATGATTATGTAAAAGTTTATTTTGTGATATTCTGTGATATCAAGAACCTTCCCTGAAGAATTATGATTATGTGAACTCTCAAACAAAAAGACTTTTGGACTGAAATGCTGAAAAATGCAATAGGACTCTAAAAATTAAAAATTTATTTTAAAAAAATTGATATTTATAAGTTATACTTTTATAGAATCAAAATTTTATGATTTATGTTTTTCTTTTTTATTTGCTAGTGCTTTAACTCTCTCTTTAAAAAGGCTTCTCTGTCGCTACGCCTTTTTCTTTTTGAAGGGGGGAATATGTAAGATAAAAAATATGAAAGCAAACTTCTAAACTTAATTCACTATAACTTCCATTATTTTCTATTTCATTTGAGAACTTCCTCTATCTGTCCTAAAAATAGCGCTTAAGTCTAAACTGCGTCATTCAAATTAATCATGCGATCTTACTTAACCCATAATGCAGATCCCTCTCGACCAATCACCAAATTGCAAACCAAAACTTTTCTCTTCGCGTGCTTCCAGCTTTCATAACTACGCACTTCAGCTTTTGCTCTCTACTGTGCTAAGATGTAATTTCGCTGGCTTGCTTTCTATCCCAACAATATCAAAAATGTAAATCTTCTGTGGAAAGGCACGACTAGAGTGCCAAGTGATTGTGGCCACAAATATCAATTGGAAATAAAAATGGAAGTAAAACTGCCTCGACTGCCAAGTTCTTTAAATACTACGCAATCAAAATTCTTCTTCAGTATGGGTCTAATCACGCATCTACAGTGTTCTGTCTTTTCTTTTCCTTGTGCTTTTATTATGACATATATACTGACGAGTCGAAACATTATGACCATCCTCACATTTTTTGATGAACTCGTCTGGATGACATAGAGAGTGCGTGATTATGTGGGAATGATATTTAACTGCTGCTGGAGAAGGTAAAGAATCATTCTTCCTTTTACTGTTGCGAGTGATGGAAAAGGCTGCTGATCTAAGCTAATTTGATAGAGGGCAGACTGTAATGGCCGGAAGATTCGGAACAAGTATCTCCCAAACTGCATGTGTGGTGGATTGTACACAATCTGCCATTGTTTAGCATTTATGCAAAGTGGATAAATGACACCGAAACAAGCACTAGATGCCAAAGTGCTGGACATCCACACTTCATCAAAGAAAAAGGACGTTGGAGACTATCTCGCTTGCTAAGCAAAACGGCCCTAGACAGTGGCTCAGCTGACAGCCCAATACAATGCACCTCCAACTGCAAGTTTTTCAGCACACATAGTTTAGTGGGTACTGTTAGATACGGAACTGAGCAGCAAACATCTCGCTCGTCTGCCTCTGTTGAATAAGTGTCATTGTCAACTACGCCTATAGTGGGCCCGGGAACATCGAGACTGGATCATGGATAATTGGAAAAAAGTTGCCTGGGCGAATGAATCACGATTTTTTATTCATCACGTCGATAGTCGCGAATAATTTTTCGTTGCATCTTACATGGCATCTTTCTTCCCAACTGGAAATGGAATCTTTCAGCAGGGCAACGGCCCATGTCATAGGACTCGAATTATGTTGAAGTGGTTCAAGGAACATAAGAGTGAATTCCAAATAATGTCCTGGCCACCTATCTCATCGGTTCTTAACCCGATAGAGCACATTTGGAATGTCATGGAGAGGCAGCTCAGAGCTCAAATACCACCATGTCGAAATATCTCGACTTTGCATGACCGCTGCTTAGACATTGGGTACAACCTGTCTCCATTCATCTACCAAGAACATGTGGCATCCATGTTAAGTCGAGATGCAGGTGTTTTGTAGGCCAAAGGTCGCACAAAACGTTATTGAGTAAGTGGTCATAATGTTTTGGCTCTTCGGTGTATATAATATATATATATAGTTTCATAAGAATAAATTTAATATAATTAAATAAGTCAAATTATATTAAATTTAAATAATTCTCTTGCGCCATTGCTGCAAGAAATGAAATTTGAATTTAACAAACATTCTCCATTATTATAAATTTTGAAAATTTTAAATGAGCTATTGTTATTAAAACAGATACTGTAAGTTAAATTTTTTTAATAAAGTTAAAAAAGAACTAAGTGCATAAAATTATTTATTCAGTAAACTAAAGAAATAAGTAAAGAAAACCAAACTATTAGAACTTGAAAAAGTAGTTACATTTTGAAAAAAGAGAAATCAGAGAGAAACAAACAAGGTAATTAGCGCTAAAAGCTGCTAAGTACAAAAAAAAAAAATTGTTTCGTAAGAATAATAAGTTAAATTAAATTAATTAAAATAATTCTCTTGCACCATTGCTGCAAGGAATGAAATTTGAATTTAACAAATACAGTCAAAAGTCGTTAATTCGGACACCAATAATCCGGAATGATCTATAATCCGAACCTCAAAGCTAAAAACTTTCTGCGCATGCGCCGCGTTGGCACATGCGTTTTAGGCGTGCGCATAAGACCTTGACTACTGCGCATATGCGTGTGCGCAAGTGCAGAATACGTTTTCACCTGCGCGTTTAATGTATAACGAACGGTGTAAGCTAAAATTATCTAATTATCTATTTCAGTTAATGTTAATGATTGCATTGTTCCTTAATCTTCGAATTGGATCCCGCTTATTATATTTTGTAGACTGTAAGAGCAATTTTATAAAAGTAAATTTGAACTTTCGATTATGTCAAATAGAATTTCCGATGCTGGAACTTCCAAAGGATCTACAAAACGAAAGTATGTTTCGATGTCCAACAAACAAAAAGTGGATGAAGACATGAAGAATGGGACAGAGAGGTTAGTGAAAACGAAAAAATTTCGATTGACAAGTTAGTCGGTATTCTCGGCACAGCAATTACGGGACTTAAACAGCGGATCTTTGTAACTGAACAAGAAATTATGTCTGTTTATAGAATTAAAGAGGAAGTATGATCACATAAAACGAAGCAACTTAAACAACTTACATTGAAAAAAATGTTTAATAAAGTAAACAAATAAATATTAAGCTTTTTTTTTTTTTTTTTTTTTATTGTAAATTTTGATACTATTTAGATCATAATTGTTCTTTATTTCATAAATTACGGTTTCATATTTTTAATTTTAGAATTTCTGCATGCCATATTACGAGATTTAAACTGATGATCCATAATCCGGAAAAATCGATAATCCGGAATCGCCGAAGTTCCGACGAGTCTGGATTAACGACTTTTGACTGTATTCTCTATTCGTATAAAGCAAATTTAAAGTTGATTAAAATATAAGTATTTGAACTATCTGTTTTAATAATAGTTCATTTAAAATTTTCAAATTTTAGTGAATTAAATTAGAAACACCATTTAAATTCTCAGTTTTTTTTAATATAAATATGCTGTCAGAATTTAAATTATATTGTAAATTAGTATGCAGCAATAATTAATCATTTATTTATGCAATTAAAATTTCATAATTTAAAATTTAGATTTTAATTAACTTTAAATTTGTTTAAATACAAATAGAGAATGTTTTGTTAAAATATATATATATATATATAATCAATTAATCAATACTGGTTTAGGAAATAAATTATATATATATATATATATATGGTACCTGTTATCAAGTTTTAATAAACTTCATTTCCATCAATGATTTAGGCTGGACATCTAGAAACTTACAGGTTTTGTGATAATGTTTGGACATTCGTTCTTAAAGATGTGGAATTTCGTGAAGTTCAAGAGCTCATCAGAGTTGATAAAGTAAAGATTGTTGCTTGTGATGGAAAAGGTAATTTTGTCATTGATAACTTTACGAATACACACTTTCACAAATACATAGTGCATATATTTTATCTTATTAGTTTAAGGTTTTCGTTATGCAAATTAAAATTATGTTCTTGATAAAATAGATTTTGATTTGCTTATTGATGTCATAAACAAAACTACTTTTTAAAACTTACAAAAACTTGATTTATATGACTTTATTGAGAATGGATTTTATTTTGTATATATCAGTGACAGTTTACTGGAGAAGACAAAACACACGTTTGGAGGGATACTAAATCAAATAAGAGAATTAGTGTTTATTAGTACTTTTAGATAGAAATGCTATAATGCAAATTTAAAATACAGCAATAGATACATATTTAAATAAATAAATAAAACATAAAAGACATGAACATTTTTATTTTTTACCCCATGAAACCTTTTTAAGTGATACATTTAACCTCTCAGTCAGCACTACTTGCTAGAAGTTTTTCTGCATTTTTTTTAAAAGTAGAAAAACATCTCAAACATAACCATGCCAACTGAAGAATTAAATTCTATTATATACTTGTCATTTTTATTTTATTGCTATGAAATCATATATATATATATATATTTGGGGGGGGGTCTTCATTTTTATCTGACCTAAACTTATTTCATAGAAAGTATGTAGTTTGTCCAGTAAATAGACTAACTAAACTACTAGGTGATCTTGAAGTGACTACACACACTAGCTGCTGTGTTGGAAGGTAATCCAACAGAATACCAATAACCATCGGATTGCTACAGCAAATGTGTATAGCTAGAGATCTTTTGCAATTCCCATCAACCTATATACATAGGTAAGGAAGGTAATGTTTTCGGCCCGAAAATCTGATAGTGAGTTTTCAACGAATGAGCATAAATTAGGGTTCCCACAACACTTTTATACTCTTTTTACAATGATGTGCATGATGATTCTTCTGTCTGCAAACTTCCAAAAATTTATGTTTTCCATAATTAAACTTTGTACATTCATATAAAGAGTTCATTAAATTCATAGGGTAAAATTTTTAAAAAAATGAAAGTTGTACTTTATTGGAAGCTCATAACAATTTTTAATGGATAGCTGTTATTGGTGTTTTTTTTTTTTTTTTTGAAGCTCATAATAGTTTTGAACAATCAGCATAACATTTTGTTGCAACCATAATATATTACTGCAGTTGAGCAAGCATTAATTCATGATATCTGAATATTGCAGGGATATATGTACAAATCAAAATAAATATAGATTTATTGATACTATAGAAATAATATAGAAGAACATGGTATTCATTTCAAAGTATTTATTTTAAACATATAATAAAGCCTTGATTTTCTTTAATTAAAAACCAGTAAAGTTATATATTAAATAAAATACAATTTTTACACCAATAATAAAATACAATTGCCCAATAAAAAGCCTTTTTTATAAAAAGAAAATAATGGAACTATCATTTGATTATGTTAATATAAATTTGAAAAACTAGTTATTTTTCCCCTGTGGCAAAGCTAATAAAATATAATTCAAAATTTCATATTACAAACCTTTGTATTTATTGGAATAACCAGATTTTGTTTACTAGCGATCAACCAGAAGTGATACTTTTATTAAGGCTTGTTAGTTAAAATACGGAATTGGTGGGAAGTCATGTGCTTGCCACATCAGACTTTTTTTTCATAATTGATATCATAGATTGATAAACAGGTGAAGTATTAGAACTGAAATTTGGGAAGAACTCTTAGGAAATTTTTGAAATGTTGAGGCTTGTTTATAGATGTAATACATCTAAGAAAATAGTTCTTTTTAAATGGCTCAAGCACTTTAGTAAGGGCCGTGAAGACTGCAAGAATGATGCAGTTGCAGGAAAATTGTCAATCTCAGCTGTTGGTAAAAACATCAAAGGTGTGAAATTTCTTTTGCTTTTTGATTGCTGATTCATTGTTCAGATGATTGTTGATGTGCTGAAATTGGGAAAATCATCACTGCATACGATTCTGAAGAAGCATTTCAGGTTGAGAAAATCATGTACAAAAATCGTGTTATTTGCACTGGATGAAAAGCTGAAATTTAGTTCAATTTTTTTTTTTAATAGGGTTATCACCATTGATAAATAATGGCTCTACAAGCATGACATTGGGTTGAAATCATTGAGGGAGGAATAGAAAACAAAAAGTGAACCGTTAGCAAAAAAAGAGCCCCTTTCAAAAAAAAAAAAAAAAAAAAAAAACTGATCAAGATTATGTTTTACTTTTGGTGCATTCATATTGCTGTCTGTCATGAATTTGTTACTGAAGATACTATATAGTGAATGTTGCCTTCTGCATGAGCAGTTGTTTAAGCAGTGCAATACAGAACCATGCTTAATGCATACCTGCCAACTTTTACGAATTTTTTGTAATTTTTACGAAAATGCCTTTGTCATTATGATTTTACAATCGGAATGCATTTTTTACGATTTTTTTCCTTTTTCAAGTGTTTTTAATGATTTTTGTCGAAATTTTAGAATTTTTCGCCAAATCAGCGATTTTTGCCAATTGCATCGTGTTTTACCGCCAACTACCGACTACTTCGAATCCAGTAACCTGCAGTTTCTCCCAACTCGCTGCTTAACCAGCCAATCCAATGCGCTGAACTTGTTTCTCCCACTCTTTTCATTGTGGGCGCCAGATTATTTTTTTCGCGTTCGCTTCAGCAGCAAGGGAATTACTCAGCTCGGACTCAGTGAGCGTGGATTGTCGCATTCTGTTTTTTTTTTTGGTTTGCACGTGCTACGAATATTTTTAATACGTCGTTGTTACGAAATGAGTTAAAAAAAACCGTATTCTCAATATTTTATCAATATTTCCTTTTTCTGCTGCCACTTAATTAATTTGGCAGCAGAAAAAGCTGCAGCTGCTTTACCATTAAATATTGACCAGCTTCTGATTGATGTGTTTTTCTATCTGGAAAAAAGTGTAAAAAGGAAAGAAAATCTAAAGAATTTCCAAGAACTGTGCTCTGGTGAAACGAGAAAAATTCTGAAATATGTATGCACAAGATGGTTATCCTTAGGCAGAGCGCTAGGAAGGTTTATTGAACAGTGGGATGCATTACTAAAATATTTCCACGAAGAGACCAAAACGAAACCACAGATCCCATCAAATTGTCGGCATATAAGATTCCGAAAAAAACCAGCTTTGCTTCTAATCAAAATGCTTTAAAAGGGAAAAGCCACACACAGAATCAAACCCTTTAAAAAGAAAATGCTTAGAAGACTCCTCAAAGGTCAACTTGTGTTTAAAGAAGTTGAAGGGAAAGAAACAGTCTTCTATTAGCCGAGAGGAAAGGATTTTCTATGTTCTTTCTTCGGATTTGAACAAAGCATATTGCAGATTTGTGTTAAGTACCATTAAGATTTTTGAAAGTTTAAATACCCTTCTACAATCAGCTTCGCCAAAATCTGCCCTGCTGTATCCAAATTCTTAATGATCTTTTGAAAGAACTTTATAACTAAGTTTGTAAAGCCGTCCGTTGTGAAAAACATGTGTTGTTTTATGTTGCCTATAATAGTTTGGCAAATCAAAAGGATGGCAATGATCTTATAATTGGAAATCAAACCAGGGAGCTTGTAAATTCTTTGAAATATCATGAGAAAAAAGAATTTTTTCAATGTGTTAGAAAGTACTTTTCCTCAGCCTGTGATTTTATTGTAAGGAAGTTTCCTTTGCAAAATGAAGTTCTTTTAAATGCTGAAGTGGCAAATTTGAAACAAAGTGAAAATTCATCTTTTGAAAAGATTTTTTTTTTATTGATAAATTTCCATTTTTTGTTAACAATTAAAGAAAATGAATGCCATAATGATGCTTTAGATGAACTACAGAACCAATTTTCTGCTGCACAGTTTGAAGACTTTGCCAGTTCAGGAGAAGATAGACTTGATGTCCTCGTTGGTACCTTAAAAAGAATAAAAAGAGCTGATGGAACACCAAAATATGATAGACTAGCAAGAGTTTTATGTGCTATTCTCGTAATTACACACAGTAATGCTGAGTGGAAGACAGTCTTCAGTGTTGTGAAGAAAAACAAAACTATGTTTCGTTCTTCAATTTCACCAAAACTCTAGAAAACAATTGCTAAATGTTATGAGGAAACTAATTGTTATGACAGGAAATTTTCCAAAGAAATTTTGGCTAAAGCCCAAAAATGCACTCTAAATTCATTGCAATAATTTTTTTGTGTAACATTAAGTTCTTTTTTTATGTTTCCTAATAAATTTTTTAGTTACTACTTAATTGAGATTTACTAATGTAAGTACAATTTTCTTTTTTTCTATTTGTATAAATTGTTATTTTTTTAATATCAAAGCATGATATTAATTCTTCGTGTTCTTCTGAATTTTGGAGAAATCTTCTGAATTTTTATCTTTAGAGGTTGGCAGGTATGTTAATGGATATTTAAACTAGATTCATAATAAAATTAGATAGTCTTGTAGTTATATAACTGTAAATAAGGTAAGTTGTATCGTAATTATAATTACAGTATTGTAGCTACCTGTTGATGTATTTGGTTACTTTGTTAAAAATATTAGTATTTTCCCATTAGCAAGAGTTTTTGGTACCAAATTGCCAATTAAAATGAAAAACTGCTAAAAGCTATTTTAGTGATTTTAGACATGATTGACAGTTATATAGATTCACTTTTTGGTTGATTATGTGAATAGTTTGAATATATAAAAAAAATATTTGAATATTTGTTGTTACAGTTTTGAAATACAGAAACACTGCAATAAAGCTAATTTACACATTTAAGTTATTACATGTATTTACTGCAACATATACACATTTGAGTATAAAGATTGGAAAAGTAATAAATAAGAAATGTTGAGGTATAGACTGTAAGATTAAAAAAACACTGAATATGAAAAGTTAAATATACATTTATATTTTTTTATTCACATTTAGAAAGGAACAAGTTTTAGTTTCATTTAGTAAGAAATGAATATGCAGTGGTTATTACATAAA